GAGAGAGAGAGAGAGAGAGAGAGAGAGAGAATCCCAAGCAGGCTCTATGCTCAGTGTGGAGCCTGATGTGGGGCTCAATCCCAAAACCCTGGGACCATGACCTGAGCCAAAATCAAGAATAAGACACTCAACTGAGTCACCCAAGGGCTCCCTCCAAACAGCTTTCAGTTTTCTGCACACCCTATACTGTCATTCCATTGCACTGTGTCTTTGTGTACTTCCTGTGATGCCCCTGCTGTCTTTTGCTTGGGTCTTGCTTAGCCTTCAACACAACTTGGATGTTAACTTCTCCACAATATCTTCCCTAAATCCTCCAAGTGGGATAAATGCCTTTCCTTAACATTTCCATGGGATTATTTTAAACACTGCATTAACACTACATATTACAATCACCTATTTAAATATTTGTCAAATAAATAAATATTTGTCTCCTTAACTAAATTATAAATATGTTAAAGATCCATTACCCAGCATAGTGTATCTGATGCACTGTGTCTACACTATTTTTGCAGAAATATATTGAATAATTACTTAGATTGATTCCACTGTTTCCATAGTTATAAATTATACTGCAATAATACTAGCTTAGGGCAAATGACATTAAAAATTTTTTTTGACAGATTGTATGATGAAAGATTACTGGGTCTAAACACATCAACAGTTCTTATAACTCTTCAAAAATTTATGTCTATTTTTTAAGTTTATTTTGAGAGAAAGAGAGAAAAGGAGAGGGGGAGAAAGAGAGAGAGACATAGAGAGAGACTGAGTGGCGAAAGGGCAGAGAGAGAGAGGGAGAGAGAAAGAATCCCAAGCAGGCTCCATGCTCAAACTCACGAGCCGTGAGATCATGACCTGAGTCGAAACCAAGAGTCAGAAGCTTAACCAGCTGCACACTTATGTCTATAATTTTTAATATTTGAGAGACCAAGAGGCAACTGGTCAAGAATTTTTACCAGGTAAATTCACACTTGGAATTTTCTGTCATGACATTTAACTAATATGGTTTACTTTATGCCAATAATTAATGCCTTTAACAATAAGAGTAAATAATTTTTATAGTCACTATAACTAATGTTCTACCTACAGCCCAATCTCTATGATACTAGCTTTAGACTATGCAATTAACTTAATTTTAGACAATTAAAATGCACAGTAAGACTTTTTAAAAGATACAGATATATCAGTTGACACCGCTAAAACATCAAGTTTCCTATCACTGGACAGGAAAAAAAGCAATCTACCAAATTTCTGAAAATGGCCAGAAAGAAATCCATATTATCAAACACGAAAGTTTTCATGAAGCATTCCCATTCAAGGGTAATGCAAAGGTAACATCCTGCTATATTTTCAATATATAAAGGTTACTTGTATAATGCTCCAAATCAGAGGACTTTTGTAAATAAATGTTTGTTGGAAACCCAGTCACCTCATTTGTTTATGCACTGTCTATGGCTGCACTCACTACAATGGCAGAGCTGAGTAGTTATGACAGACACCATATGGCTGCAAAGTCTAAAATATTTACTATTTGGCTCTTTATAAAAAAAAAAAGTCTGACAACTCCTACTGTAAGTTATTAGAAAAGAAAACACTCTTTACTTCTGTCATTAAAAAATATTCACACCAAAGAAAATAAACATGGAAGCCTATGATTTGTATTGGTATCCTACTTTTTCTTACTTCTTTGGTGGTTCTTCTAATTAATGGTATTCATTCAAACCCACTATAGTCCCCAGTCTGCCCTCATCAAAAATTCCTAGCTCTCCTCTTCAGCATCTTCTGTTATAGTTAGCAATAATAAATCCCTGCTGACCTGGTCAAATAATAACGTAAAAAGTTTCACAAATTAAAAGAAAAAAAAAAAAGACATAAAATGGTAGAAAAGTAACCAAAATGGATAAAGTTTGTGCAGAGAGGGCTTGAGGGGAGGTTGTTAATAACTGGGAGTGTTGAAGAGAATGGATGACAATGTGATTGAAACAATCAGGAAAGTGTTTTAGGAAGAATGGAAGAAATAAAAAGAAGCAAAGAAAGCAAATAGTAAAATCAAACTTTTAAAAAATATAGAACATTAGCATACTTAGCATAAAATCTTTTAGTATCAATCATTTAAGAAAGCTTTCTATTTACCTGTCCAAACAGGCAAATAGTCCAGATTTTCCTCCTACTGCACAAAGTACTTTGGGAGCACAGCGAGGTCGTGTCATCAGGACTGTCTGATGAGAAAGTCTATGTTCAGGCATAAAGTGGTACTTTAGGGCTTCATTCAAAAGATGTTTACAAGTGCGATCATCACGAATAAGATGATTTGCTTCATATAGTCTAGTAAGAAACTTAACACTCAGCAATGGTAATCTCACACTGTTAAGTAGCTGTGCTAAGTATTTCTGACGTTCTTGTACGTCATACTTGATCCAAGACTCAAGTGCGTAAAAAACAGTCTCTTCAGTAGCTACGTTCAAACAGTCATTGGAAACAATTTCATCCAAATCAGCATGTGTAAGTTCAAAAAACTCTTCAGTCTGGCAAACGGCTTCAAAATTCTGGCATATGTATTTAGTAGCTGCCAAATAAAGGTCATGACAACCATATGTCTCTGCAAAACGAGAAATTCCAATACAATTACCAGGATCAAGCTGGCTTTCAAGAAATGCACAACATTCTTTTAGGACAAGCTTTATCTGGAGTAGGTTTGCTGCTGGAAGGAGAGATTCAACTGTGTCCTGCGAAATAAAAACAGTCCCGGTATAAGCATACTCCACAATGGCCTGGAGAGCAGTTTCATCAATGCACTGAAACTCAACCTCACTGTTCTCTTTTTCAGAAAGGTTTCCAGTGAACATAGCTTTGAAATATGGGCTGATGCTGGCAAGTACCACTTTGTGAGCATGGATTTTAACATCACCTACTCGAAGAACGATGTCACAGAGTTCGTGATGTTGACGAAGAAGATTCAAGCCCTGCAGAAGTTGTTCAGAATGTAAGTGGGTTAAGTTAGCAAGCATGTAGGTCGGGGATGTGTGGTCCATCTATGGAAAAACAAAAAGCATGAACAGTTATTTCAAAATGATCTTGCTAATATGATTGATTCCTTTTTCAAATAGCATAAAATTAGCAAAATCTGTTTACTGGTCTGTTTGTTGGTTTTTTAATACTTTATACTAAATACTAGACAGAAGCTTTTAGAGGTAGAAGGGATATTACCAATCATATAGTTCAACTTCTATATCATAAATATTAGGACACAGAGGCCCAAAGGTTATGTGTGTGATATGTCCCAAACCGCAAAGGTCTCTTGACAATGGACTTTTGGACTACAACTCTGCCAACTCTTCTGTTTCCTTTCATTAAATTCAAGTCTGAGTTACCACTGAGACAAATTACAAATGTGAAAATGCTTAAAGGAAAATGAGTTCTGAAACAATGCTAGTAGGTTTTTGGCTATTTTATCAGGAATAATATCAATGCCTACCAATCTAATCAACAGATGCTTTAGCTGGAAAGAAATTCCATGTTAACACACATTTTAGTCAACAATTCAATAATTACTTTGATAAAGGGTGCTGAATTTAACAAAGGTATTACTATCAACCAATTGAATGACAATAAAAATTAATGTGAGTACAATTTGATGCTCTATAGTGAAGGCAATTAGGCTCACCTACTCATCTACACCATATCTACTCAACTCTTCACCATAACTTTAGATCATATTCAATCAATCTTCTTGCCACTTTGTACGTCTGGAAGATGAACAATAAAAAACAGGAAAAAAGAGACAGAGGAGAATAAAAGAAGAAAAAGAAGCAATAGGGATTGCGGTAAATTGAATAATGGCTCCCAAAAAGATATCCACATCCTAATCCCTGGAACCTTTGAATGGTACTATCTGGCAAAAACAACAACACTGCAGTTATAATTAAGGATTTTGAGATGGGGATATTATCTACTGGATTATCCAGGTGGGCCCTAAATGCAACTTGTAAGAAGACTGTAGATTTGACACAGAAAGAAGAAGGTAATATGACCACGAAGGCAGGGACTGGAATGAGGCAGCCACAAACCAAGTAATAACTGGTAGCCCCCAGAGGCTGGAAGAGGAAAGGAACATATTCTTTCCCTAGAACTTCCAGAGGGAGCATGGCCCTGACAACACTTTAATTTCAGCACAGTGATAACTAATTTCGGACTGTGGAAGAATAAATTTCTGTTGCTCCTTTAAAAGGTTTATTATTTTAAGAGCGAGAGAAAGAGAGTGCGAGCAGGGGAGGGGCAGAGAGGGGGTAGGGAGAGAGAGAATTCCAATCAGGCTCCATGCTCTCGGAGCCTGATGAGGAGCTTGCTCCCTCAAACTGTGAGATCATGACCTGAGCCAAAATCAAAGAATTGGATGCTTAACCTAAATCAAAGAGTTGGGCATCCAGGTGCCCCTGAATTTCTGTTGCTGTAAGCAACTGAGTTTGTTGCAACTTGTTACCTAAAAAATTAATACACGGACACTTCAAAATGGATCTTTTTAAAAATATATGTACATATATATA